TTCCTGACACAAATGCGTGGATATTGTTTTTTTTTTTTTTTCTATTCTTGTGTAATATGTTCTTTTGTTTTTCTATTTATTCGGTTGTGTTTTTGTGATGTTTTTTTTGTTTTTTTTCTTTTTTCTGTTTCTTAATTTTTTTTTTTTTTTTTATCTTTTTTGTCTGTATATTATTGTGTTTTTCGGTAGGTCTGGTCTACTCTCTCTGCTCGCATTTGTTGTGTCTCTTGTCTTTTGTTGGTGGTTGTGCTCGTTATCCTCCTTCTCTTCCGCATATACTTGTATTTTTCTCTCTCTCTCTCTCTCTCTGCTCTCTTTCATTCTCTCTCTCATTGATTTAACTCTTTCTTCTTTTTCTTGTATCTATCTCTCTTCTCTATTCTCTCTCTCTCTTTTCTCTTCTCTCTCCCTCCTCTCCTCAGCCTCCCTCCTCCTACCCTCCTCTACTACCTTCCCCTTAATCCCCCTTCCTCTTCTTCCTCTCTTTTTTTTGTTTTTTTTTGTATTTCATGTTATTTTACTTTGTTTCTATCATCTATTCCTATCTATAGAGGTTACCTCAAGCAGAGTGAATGAGGGTGAAGGGGGTGAAAAGGTGCGGGAGAGGAAGAAGAGAGAGAGAGAGAGAGAGAGAGAGAGAGAGAGAGAGGAGAGAGAGAGGAGAGAGAGAGAGAGAAGAGAGAGAGAGAGAGAGAGACGAGAGAGAGCGAGAGAGCGAGGGCGAGGGCGAGAGCGAGAGCGAGAGCGAGAGCGAGAGACGAGAAAGAGAGAGAGAAATAAGAGAGAAAGAAAGAAGAGATAAAGAGACAAAGAGAGAGAGAGAGGAAAAGAAGCCCAGAACAAAACACTCGTGGCCTTCAACAATGTTCTCGAACCTCGCTATACCGGTCGCCTTCCGAGTTACGACTAGGGGGGGGGGAGGACGGACGGGAGGAAGGGAGAGAGAGTAGGAAGGAGAGGGGGGAGGAAAGGAGGGGAAGGAGGGAGGGAGGAATGTAGGAAGGAGGAGGGGGGAGGAAAGGAGGAGGGGGGAAAGGAGGAGGGGGAGGAAGGAGGAGGGGGAGGAAAGGAGGAAGGGGAGAAAGGAGAAGGGGGAGGAAAGGAGGAGGGGGGGAAAGGAGGGAGGGAGGAATGTAGGAAAGAGGAGGACGGGAGGGAGGGAGGGACAGAGGTAAGAAAGGAGTAGGAGGGAAGAAGGAAGACAAGGAGGAGGTAGGAGGAGGGAGGGAGGGAGGGAGAGGGAGGAGGGCGGGAAAGAGAGAGGAAGGGATGGGGATGGGTAGAGGGAGGATGAAGAGAGGGACGGGAGAGGGTAGGGAAGGAGGAAGGAGGGGAAGAAAGGAGGAGGGGGGAGGAAGGTATAGGCTAGGAGGAAGGGAGGGAGAGAGGGAGGGTGAGGAAAGGAGGAAGGGAGGGAATTGGGAGGGAGGATTAGATAGTTGGAAGGAGGGGGTAGGGAGGGAGGGAGCAGGGAGGAAGTGAGGAAAGGAGGAAGGCAGATAGAGGAGATTGTTAAGAAGAGATGGGGGGAAAGTCTCTGTGTTTGTCTGTCTGTTTCTTTCTCTATATCTACACTTCCGTCTGTCTGTCTCAACTGTTTCTCTGTTTGTCCATCTGTCTGTCTGTCTGACTCTGTCTCTGGCCATCTGTCTGTCTAAATCTCTCACTGTTAATGTATGTCTGTGTGTCTGATTCTCTCTCTCTCTCTCTCTCTTCTCTCTCTTCTCTCTTCTCTCTCTCTATCTCTCTTTCTCTCTCTCTCTCTCTCTCCTCTCTCTCTCTCCTATTCGTCTTCCTCGAGACCGCCTACATCCCCTCTCAGCCTCCCGTCTTCTCTTCCTCTTCCCCCTCCTTTATCTCCTTTCATCTCCGCTTTCCTCTCCTCGTCCCTCGGCGCTATCTCATTCAATCTCCACTCTTCCACTCCATTTTTCCTCCTCTATTTCCCTCCACTATTTCCCCACTTTTCGCCTACCTTTCCTCTCCACTTTTTCTTCTATCCACTCTCTCTTCTCTTTCTTCTCCACTATTTCCTTCTCACTTTCCACTCTTTTCCACTATTCTTCTTCTCTTCCTCTCCACTGTTTCTCGCTTTCCTCTCACCTCCACCTCCACTCTCTCTCTTTTCCTCTACCGTCCTCTCCTCTCTCCATTTTTTCTTCTTTTCTCCCTTCAATTATCCGTACTCTCCTCCACTCTCCTCTCTCTTCCTCTCTCTCGACTCCTCTTTCCTCTCCCTCTCCACTCTCTCTCTCCACTCACTATTTCTCTCTTTCCTCTCCACTATTTCCTTCCACCTCCACTCTCCATTCTCTTTCCTCTACCCGTCCTCTTTCTCCATTTTCTTCTCCTTCTCCCTTCATTTATCATAGTTCCCCCTCCTCCATTGTGCTCATCCCTCAGGCTACATTTCTGACATCCTCTTTTCTTGTCTTTTATCTTTCTCGTTTTCCATTTTCCGTTTCTTGTTTTCTATTTTCTTATGTTCCCTGCTTTATTTCTTATTTATTTTTATCACTCAATTTTCTATCAAAATTTATTTTTTTTCTATTTCATTTTGTTTTCTATTTGATTTTATGTTTTCCGTTATCCTTTGTGGTTTCTTTAACTCTTTATAGTTTTCTCTATTCTCCAATGTTTTCTATTTACTCTTGTTTTTAAATTTCTTCAATGTTTTCTGTTTTTTATTTAAATTTTCGATTAACTTTTCGTGAATTCCGTTTCCCTATTTTGCTTTTTCGTTTTTTTCGTGCTTTTTTTTTTTTTTTTTTACCTAAATATTTTCGAGAAGGCATTTTTAGTGTTTGATTTTTTATTTTTAAAATTTTATGACATTTTAATATTCTAATACTTATTACGCCTCTGGTTCTACGTTTTCGTCTTCTCTCTCTTTATATTCCCTTTCCTCCTTTCCTCCATCTCTTTCTCTCTCTCCCTGCCTTGTATATATATATATCCAAACCTTTTACTCTCCCTCTCTCTCTTCTCCTCTTCCTTCTCCTTCCCTCCCTTATAAATATTCTAAATCTCCCACCCTCTCACTGTTTCGTTTAGCCTCCCTTCTTTCCTTCCTCTCCTCCCTCCCTTTTTTCAAATCTTCCGGTTTCCCCCTCTCTTTATTTCCTTTCCCTTTCCCCTCATTTCCTCTCACTCCCCTCCTTTCTTTCATCCTTTATAAATCTTCCAATCTCCCACCCATCTTTCTTCCTTTCCTTCCTCTATATCCCTTCCTAACCAGTCTTCCGTTCTCCCTCTCTCCTTTCTTCCTCCCTTTCTCTGTATCGCTTCTTTACCAGTCTTCCGTTCTCCCTCTCTCCCTTCTTCCTCTCTTTCTCTGTATCCCTTTTTTACCAGTCTTCCGTTCTCCCTCTCTCCCTTCTTCCTCTCTTTCTCTGTATCCCTTCTTTACCAGTCTTCCGTTCTCCCATTCTTCCTACTTCCTCCCACTCTACCTCTCTTCATGCTTTCTTCCTCACTCTCCCACTAATTCCATTTTTCTCTTCTTCCTGTCTTCCGCCCTCTCTCTTCTTTCTTTACAAATCTTCCCTTCTCCCTTCCTTCTTCCTCCTTTACCTATCTTCCCGTTTCCCTCCATTCACCCTTCCTCCTTTACAAATCTTTCATTCCTCCACTCTCCCTCCCTTCTTCTTTCCACCCTCTCTCTCCCTCTTTTAACTCTCCATTATCCCTCTCCCTCTCTTTCCCAGCCTTACCAATCTCCCGTTCTCCCTTTCTCCCATCCTTCAACCTTCTTCCCCTTCTCCTCCCTCCCCCTCCCTCCCTTCAACCTTCTTCCCCCTCTCTCCCTTCAACCTTCTTCCCCTTGTCTCCCTTTCTCCCTCCTTTTTACCTTTCTCCCCCTCTCTCCCTCCCTCCCCCTGCGCAATTCAACACAGTTAACTCATCTTTCTCCCAAGCGGTCGGGTTTAGCTTCCAATCTCTTTCCATTCTTCACGCCCATTTCATCACCCATTCTGCTTTTCACAGCGATCCGTCCTCTTTTTCTTATTCCTCCACCTTCCTCAACCCTTAACCCATCTCTCCCCCAACCTTTAGGCTTCCTTGTCCCTCTCCTCTCCCTTCCCCAACCTTTAGGCTTTCCTCTCCCCCTCCTCTCCCTACCCCAACCTTTAGGTTTCCCTTTCCCTCTCCTCTCCCTTCCCCAACCTTTAGGCTTCCCTCTCCTCTCCCTTCCCCAACCTTTAGGCTTCCCTCTCCTCTCCCTCCCCAACCTTTAACCCTTCCCTCTCTCTCCTTCCCTTCCCAACCTTTAGGCTTTCCTCTCCCTTCCCCAACCCTTACGATGTCCTCCTCCTCTCCTATTCCTTCCTTAGAATTCCCTCCCCCTCTCGTCCTCCTTCCCCAACCCTTAGGCTTCTTTCCCCACCTGTCTCCTCCACCTTCCCCAGCCCTTATTCCTTCCACCTCCCCCCTCCCCACTTGTCTCCCCCCCCTTCTCCCAACCCTTAGTCCGTCCACCCCTTCTCTTAGTGCGTCCTGTTCCCCTCCCCACCTGTCCCCTCTCACCCCCTCCTCGACTCATTTTAGGGGAAAGGGTGTTAATCTGCCCGATTGTGCTTTAATTGGGCCTCTGTTCCAATAGCTGGCTGTGGAAAATAGGGTGAGAGTGGAGAGGGTGTGTGATGGGGGAACGTGGAAGGGCGTATGATGGGGGGGGGAAGGAGGGAAGGGAGGGGAGGAAAAGAAGAAGAGGGAAAGGAAGGAGGATAGATTGATTCTTGACAGAATTGCAAATAAAACGAGATAGATACATTGATAGAAAGAGAAAAAGAAAGAGATAGAGATAGACAGGTATAGTGAGATAGAGTAAAATTGAGGTTTATATAGAAAAAAAAGAGAGAGAATGCAGTGGATAGTTGTATAGACAAATAATTAGCAATATAGAGCAAGAGAGAGCAAAAGAGAGACTGATACATTAATTGATGTCTGCATATATATCGGTGGAAAGCTCTTGCCTCTCCTCCTTGGCCCGCGAGGGAATGCAAACACTTACCTTCTCGCAATCATCTCGGATCATCTTGCGCTCGTCGGGCAATGGCCGCCTCGCCGCCGCCGCCGCCACCCTACCCCGCTGCCACCCGCCACCGCTACCCCCGCTGCCACCCGCCACCGGTGCCCTCACCACCTGCCACCGCTACACCCCGCCTGCGCTGCCACCACACCCCCATTGGCCGCCCGTGCTACCCCATGCCACCTGCCCACCCCCCACTGCCACCTGCCACCACTACCCCATTGCCGCCCGCCACCGCTACCCACTGCCACCTGCTACCCCCACTGCCACCTGTCCACCTGCCCACCGCTACCCCCACTGCCACCTGCCACCACTACCCCCGCTGCCACCTGCCACCGCTACCCCCATTGCACCCTGCCACCGCTACCCCCACTGCCACCTGCCACCTACCCCACCCTGCCACACTACCCCCACTGCCACCTGCCACCGCTACCCCCACTGCCACCTGCCACCACTACCCACCCCCACCGCTTGCCTGCCACCCGCCACCGCTACCCCACCTTCACCGCCCCCACTGCCACCTGCCACCGCTACCCCCCCCACTGCCACCTGCTTCACCTGGCTACCCCCACTGCCACCTGCCACCGCTACCCCCACTGCACCTGCCACCACTACCCCCATTCCACCGCTACCCCCACTGCCACCTGCCACCGCTACCCCCACTGCCACCTGCCACCGCTACCCCCGCTGCCACCCGCCACCGGTGCCCTCACTGCCACCTGCCACCGCTACAACCAGTGCCGCCTGCCACCACTACCCCCACTGCCACCTGCCACCACTACCCCATTGCCGCCCCACCGCTACCCCCACTGCCACCTGCCACCGCTACCCCCACTGCCACCTGCCACCACTACCCCCATTGCCGCCCGCCACCGCTACCCCCACTGCCACCTGCCACCTCCCCACGCACCTAACCCTCCCACTGCCACCCTGCCCCGCTACCCCCGCTGCCACCCCACCACTACTGCCCCACCGCTCCCACTGCCACCTGCCACCGCTACCCCCACTGCCACCTGCCACCTGCTACCCCCCACGCCCGCCACCGCTACCCCCACTGCCACCTGCCAACCGCTACCCCGCTGCCACCTGCCACCACTACCCCCATTGCCGCCGCCCCACGCCTTACCCCCACTGCCACCTGCCACCGCTACCCCCTGCTGCGCTACCTGCCACCACTACCCCCATTGCCTGCCCCGCCACCGCTACCCCCACTGCCACCTGCCACCGCTACCCCCACCACCTGCTACCCCACCACTACCCCAGCCACCGCTACCCCCACTGCCACCTGCCCACCGCTACCCCACTGCCACCTGCCACCGCTACCCCCACTGCCACCTGCCACCGCTACCCCACTGCCACCTGCCACCGCTACCCCCACTGCCACCTGCCACCGCTACCCCCACTGCCACCTGCCACCGCTACCCCCACTGCCACCTGCCACGCTACCCCACTGCCACTCACCACACTGCTGATAATGCATCCGCATGTATTAATGCCATCACTGCCACCATTTACGAATCTATTTGTACTTCTGCCACCACCCGCACTGCAACCGCTTGCTACCAGTTCCTTCACTACCACCTCTGACACCAGCTCATTTATTAGTACCACTTCCGCAGCTACCACAGGCACTACAGGTTATGCAACCGCTGGAACAAAGGCCCTTGCAACTGGTACAAGGATTATGGCTGACATTACATTGTATGGCTGTTGTCTGATCGTTTTAGAAGGTCAAGTAGCCAGGCAGACAGCCAGGGCCATCCATAGACAGCGAGACAGCCAGCAGCCATCACACAGACAGCAGACAGCCATCGACACAGACAGCGAGAACCATCGACCACAGACAGCAGCAGCCATCGACACAGACAGCGAGACAGACAGCCACTCGAACAATCATGGATAA